GTTCTGCCCCAATCGTCCGCTCCTTCCGTGTGTCACGCCCCCTCGTTAACCCCGCGTGGAATCCCCATGTCATCAGCTGTTTCTGGTTGTTGTCATTAGTCCTCTGTATTTAGTCCACGTTTCAGTTTGTTTCCCCAGTCCGGTCATTGTATTGTCCATCTGCGTTTTGCCTGCCTTACCTGTAATTAAACCCCGTATTCCCCGATACCCTGACGTCCGCGCCTTTCGGTCCCCGCTCGGCACGACAATATCATTATAATTAAATGTATTAATGGTTTATTATTAATATCAAAATTATTTATAAGAAATCTTTATTTTTAAATGTATTTTATTATATAATAATAATTAGTTACTGTCTACCATTGTCTGAATGTATTTTTACTGTCTAAATATATGTATTCAGCTAGTGTAAACATGCATGATGCTATCACAGCGAATTAGAGGCTGAGACTGAAGCTTTACCCTTTGTTTCCGCTGAGAGACTTGCCGCGTGACTCATTTCCCTGCGCATACAAGTTATCTTAGGTCGGCGTTCACGGTTTCACTTCTGAGATTCAGATCGAGTCCTAGGTAATTTTTTATCGAACTGGTTAGTTCGACTTTTAAGAAATTCGAGTTCTAATGAGTTCAAGAACTGAGGTACCACTGTATATAGAACATACACAGATTTTTAGAATATCTCCACTTTCCTAGTGTGCATAGAGTTCACAGCAAGGACGAAATCCCACATTTGCCTACAGTAAACATAAACCAATGAAACAAGCTGACAATACACAACAAGAAAGTGAAATTTTATCATGTATTAGTAGTTTCATCTAATGTGATGGTAAGATTTACTGGCAAAATCATTCTTAAATCTCTTCCTGTGACTGTGAGATTGCAAAGGTCATAGCTGATGCTGCCTGTCTCCTTCACAATGCTTCATCCATGAGTACCCTGCCATGCAGTGCTCAGAACCTCAGCCGGGGTTCCTGCCTTTGAACTGGGAGTTCCTAGCCAGAAATTTCACCTGGCACACCCCCTGATGTCGGAATTATGCCTCTGACAGTTATCTATCTGTGGAGATGTTGCTACGGTGTTTGTATGTGTTGTTATCAGCTGGTTTTGCTGACAATGGCTAACAATGATCCTGTGTAGAACAGGGGCCTGCTAAGCAAGAATTCCTGCTTTTTGAAACAAATCCCTGGTATTGCTATATGGCTTTCCCACTTGTTGTACTGGAATGCAGTTAAATCATGTGTGATGTCATTACCAGCTCCGGCTTCTGACCTCCAAGGTAAATGGAATGCAGCATAAACATCTCCAATGCCTGAACAACCAACCAAGCCAGGCAGGATAAAACCAGGCCAATGACAAAATCCAGCATTTTGGTCCAGTTTGACGTGTGCTCAGTGTGCCTCTCTGCCCCATATTGTCAGTAATGCCTCAGACTCCCTGACACCCCCAAAGAGGAGCAGCCCCTGCCTCACCTGTGCCTCTGCTCTCGTTTCTTGCCCCTGTGCTTCAGTTCCTCCATGTCTGGACCTCACAGCTCTTCCTCCATACGGTGATCCTGCTGTCCGTAGGGCCGATGCAGTCAGATAAGATGATGAAGCGAGTAGCTTTATTTCAGCCTCTTGTCTCTATCAGTGGAACTTGAGTCCAGCCCCTTTTTACTGGCCCTGGCTGTACAAGGATCACCTGTGAAACGTTATTCTTTAACAACCGCTTTCGGCTCCCTGCTCATTTGAACTCTGGAGCCCAGCTCTATATTCAGCATTTCAAAGCTGGCGTGGAGCTGCTATTTACATGCTTATTCTGGCAGAGTTATGAACAAAGTAACTTCCTGGTTTAGAACAGGACCCCCTACTCACCTTGAATCAACATAGCATTATTATTAGATGGATTTTGAACCTACTCCAGTGAATTTATAACACAGAACTTCAATTAGTTTGTAGCTTAGGAAAAAGCACTGTTTCAATATGTACAGGATAAAAAAACAGTGGAAAACAGCCTAGTGTCCAAGGTGGTGAAATCATCTTAGGTAATTCTTTGGAAAGTTAGGGTGCCATTTTTCATTGTTCTTCCTGCAATTTTTTTGTTTGTTTACTGTGTGGACACTTTTATGTTTTGTCACTGTGCCAAGGAAAGCAAAGGAGATAATGGGGAAAGTGGTGGTGTTTAGTTAACTGGTATATTACCGTGGTTTGGCTCGTTCTGGGAAATCACATTCTCTCAGTTTTATGACCTTATTTGTAGGCATTTATAAAATATGCAGTTATGCTGACAGGACAGATTATTGCAACAATATGAACAATAAAGCAACGAACTTTGAACGCAATCCTTTGATTGATGCCTGTTCCCTAGGACTCAGGCATAACTGGTAAACTAACTGTAACAGAAGAAGCAAAATGGATCACTCTTCAGAGATGAAATAAATCCTAAAACAAGCCTTTTTAAAATAAAAAGCAAGGGTGGGGATGCTTTTGTAGTTATCATCTACTACAGGGCCCAAGTACCATCCCTCCCCCCATCCCTGTCACATCTGGTGCCCCCCTAATTAATGAGTAATTTATTCATTCAAACTATTAAATGGGGTCAGGAATGTATGTGTTTCGAAATGGTGACAAAGGGAGCTAAAGCAGAGACTGCATGTCTATTTTATTATCTGCTAAAAACTGATATCATGATTCATGATTCTTATAAAAGAGGGACATTATGGTGAATTCAAGTATGTTACATATGGTCTTCAGAACCCTGTCTTTGAAATGGTTGTTACTCGTATGGTAAGTGAGGTGATGCTGATTCTAGGATGGGAAAAGGAAACTGTGTGTGTGTCCCCAACATGAAAGATTTTACCGGGAAAGGGTTTTTTTGGGGAGTGGGCAGGGTTCTTTGGGGATTGGGCAGGGCTCAGAGCTGTATGTGCCATAATATGACCCCCCTACACATGATTTACTAGTCAGATGGCCAAGGTGCGCTGAAGACCCGTGTGACACAATGCAGTTTTAATCAGTGCGATGGCTCATACTGCCATGTCACATAGACCTCGCTGAGGGGTGGGGGCACACCTCCCCTGCACAGCGGCGGGGGGGGATGTTATCTGGCACAATCAAGCCAGCAAGTTCCCGGCACACACCCTGATAAAGCAAACCCCTTGCTTACATCAAGCATATTATTATGGACACAATGGCAGGGAGTGGTTTTCACTGTCAGTAAGGCAGAGTCACATTTACCGTGTCTAATGATGCAGCCTTACAACAACAATTGGAATGTCAGGTAACTCCTTAGTGACTACAGCCCCGCATGGAGTTTTTGGATTCTCCTCGTGTTCACACGCCTTTCCTCCCAGTCTCCGATGACATGTAGTTGGATGAACTGCTGTCTATTAATTACCCATGTGTGTGTGAGTGTGTGGATTAGATTTATATTACATTGTGGGGACCAAAGCATCCAGCTAAACACTGATTCAGGCAAAGTGTCAGTCCTGGTTTTGTTAGATCTAAATGCAGCATTTGACACAATTGATCACAAAATACTTCTGGATAACCTGGAGACTTGGGTGGGTCTCACTGGAAATGTCTTCAGCTGGTGTAGGACGGGCTTAGAGGGCAGAGGTTATTATGTTGAAACTGGCAGTCATACATGGAAGTGGACACCTATTAACCATGGAGTTCCAGAAAGATGTACCCTAGGGTATGATACATTCTGCAAAATAATAATATGGGTTACCATAGATATGCCGATGACACACAGATATACGTGGCTCTGTCACCCAGTGATTTTGGCACCATCAATTCCCTGTGTCAGTGCCTTGAGCAAGTTCATTCCTGGATGCAGCACAATTTCCTCCAACTAAACAAAGAGAAAACTGAGGTGATTGTTTTATCAGAGGCCTAATGTCCAAGCATGACCATGAAAAAGTTTTCATGCCTTTATCTCCAGTTGCTTGGATTATTGTAACTCTGTCCTGTATGACCTTCCAAATAATCCACAAGACAGCTCCAGCTCCTCCAAAATGTTGCCGCTGGATTGTTACTTAGGACAAAGCAGAGTGAACACAGTACTCCAATCCTTCACTCCTTACACTGCATTTCAGTCGCCTTTAGAATCCACTTCAAGGTGCTGTCGCTTGTTTCTAAGTCACTCTGTGATCTCAGCCCAGTTTACATCACAGACCATCTAACTAGATATAAACCTAACAGGACGCTAGTATCATTAGGAGCTGGTCAGCTAATAGTGCCAAGAATGAAAAGTCAGCAAGGCTAAATGACTTTCTGCTACTGAGCGATTCCCTAAGGACTCACTAAGGAGGTTAGAAACACACCAAAACCAAAAGACTCAAAGCATTTTTGTTCCATAGTGCCTTTGATTAACACTGTAAGGATGTTTTTTATTATCCTACTTTTATTTTAGTGACATCAATTTGTATTTTAGGTGTTCAGGAGGGAGAAAAATTCCTCAGCTCACAGGTGTGGTGGTTCATCGAGTTCATCGGGCTCCTCCAATTCACTGTCACTGAGCAGATCTATCAGCAGGTTGACCCAGTGAGGTGTGTGGCCCAGGGCTCAGGCTGAGGTAGGAGGCTGGTTGCAGAGGAAGCGTGCAAGTGGAAATGCAGAGCCACTATGAGTCCAGTCATTCTGTCATGACTTGAAAAATGAGTAACTCGTTGAATATGCAGAACATATAGCGGAATTAAACAAGATCGCAAGGAATTAAAACGGGAGGAGTGGAGCAAGGAAGGGCACAGGCAACACAAGGGTTCAAAGTCACTGACCAGGTTGGGACTGACGAGAGAAACATGGACTTAGACACAAAGACAAACAACAGACATCAGGCATCAGGGCCACATGAGGGAGGATAGAGGAGGGTCAGACATGCAGGATGTGACAAAAGACAGTCATGCGTAAAGCAAGCACATTTTATTGTTTGTGTTGTTCATTTATTGTTACAATTTATTGACATAGTTTAACTTATTTTTTACCTTTTCAATGTAAATAAATAAATAGGTTTCATCACCATTCCCATTTACATCAGTCAAATTTACCAGGTTCATGAGGGAAGCTGAGAAAATTGTAAAATGTTCAGAAACTTATAAAACAGCCTGACTAGTTGTAAGGAAATATAGAAACATGGGATCCACAACCCAAGAAAAGCAGCTATTTAAAAACATTTTAAAACAACAATCTTAATTATCATTCGAAGCAGGCTTTCCAGTGATGGGTTGGACTTCACCAGAACCTTGTCCAGAGTGACGAGGGGCTACAGGAAGTTCTGCAAAGGAGAATGGGAAGTTTACTGTACAGCATGTTTCATGGAACAGCAAACATCCATGTGAAGTCAAAATTAATGTATCCAAGTTACAGCTCATTGACCGTGAGAGCCTTCCAAGGATATGCAGTTGGGAGATGGGTGGCTTGTTTGGTTTATTTCTTTCATACTTTTTCTTTAAATACAGTGGCCAGGCTAAGAATGTGCTCCTGCAGCTACTGCCTATATACAGAATCACTCAGAGAGGGTTAGGAGGTTCAGTCACTGAACAGCTAAGACAACAAATCTGGGTGAATTTGGACGAAATGTGATTGTTGATGCCAGATGTGGAGTTCTGTGAAGGTGGTTCTGTGAACATGTCAGAAACAGCCACCCTCCTGGGATTTTCACACACTACAGTGCTTAGAGTTTACAGAGGAAGGTGTGATAGACTAAAAAGATGCAGTCAGGGGCATATTGGTGTCTGAAACCATCTTGTTACTGAGAGAGGTCAGAGGAGAATGACCAGACTCATTACAGCCAACAGGAACAGTGTAAGAATAACAGCTCATTATGACAGTGCCGTGCAGAAAGGCATCTTTGATGCACAACTTGACAACCCTTTGAAGTGGCTTCTGAAGGAGGTATTGAGATGGGTTACCTAATCATGGGCCCAGATGAAGCACAGACCCTGACCAGTGAAAATGTGCTGGAGTCCTGTACCTTCTCAAAGCTGGCATCCTGCATGCTCTTCTTGAAGGCTCTCCTCTCTTTGGATGCTGTTTCATTGTAAGCCACGTAATGGATCAGTGTGCCAACTCTGAGGGAGAAACTCACCGTCACGAGAGCAGAGAGCGCAAATACAGCAACACTATTATTTATTAACACTTTGCATGACATCCCTGACCACACTTACATTTGTATAGAAATATAGTTCTTTATAATTCCATACTGCTATGCTATACTGCAGCAAGTTACACTACACTACACTATACTATTCTATACTGTATAATACTAAAATACACTACACTACACTGAACTAGTTCTGGTTGAATTACCTGTGCCAGAGCATCGCCAAGAACTGTATCACAATCAATGAGGCGAAGCTGAGGAGAAACATAAATCCAATTGGGTCGATGTAGATATACTGGTCAGGGACAAGGAATCCAGTGGAGTTGATTTTTGGGAGCTTTATGCTGATGACCGAGCCGATTTCCTGCAGGAAGAAGGTGGCAGCCAACCAGAGAGCGTTGCAGATGAAGTAAACAAAGGTCGCCTGTGAAGGAAGGAAGGAAAGAGATCCACTCATCTCCTTAATGGGGAGCCAGTGAGTAACTCGTGTTCCAGAAAGATCAATCACACCAAATAAGGACGCAGGAACCAGTGGGGATAGGGGAACATCCATCCATCCATCCATCCATTTTCCAACCCGCTTATCCTACTGGGTCACGGGGGGTCCGGAGCCTATCCCGGAAGCTAGGGGAACATGTACCCCCCCAATATTTAATTTGGCTTCATTGCCCCCCCCCCCAATAAACAGATCTTTATATATAATTTTTAAGTTGTGTCTCCCCCAATATCAAACTCTCCTATGCCTTTCCTTCTGAGTACGATATTTAAATCCATGAGGTCCTTTCTTAATGTTGTAATTGTCTTTGGTCATTTTGATTAAACAAATTTTAAAAATTTAACCAAGAAAATTTCAGCACAACATAAAGAAGCAGAAGCTTCTGGAGCAAGACCTTATTCCGCAGATCCTTCAGGTCTGTGCTGATTTTCTTCTGCTTCGCTTTATCCTCATCAAGAGGCTTCAGGTATCGCTCCTGGAGGTCTCTCCAAAACTCTGCTTCTTCCTGTATATGACGTAAAAAGGCAAACATACTTAAAGGAGTGTTTATTCCCATTTCTTAAGCAGGTTTACTCTCTGAAGAGCCAATAACGAGGCCAGGGTAGTGCTTCAAAACACCTCGTCAAGTGTGTCCTCTTTCAGGCTAATGTCATATGACTTCTCTTTCAGTTGTGAAATCCAACCTGCAAACAACATTTAAAGTGTTACCTTTACTGACATGCACACTCAGTGGCCACTTCATTAGGTACACCGTATGAGTGTCGCTTACATCAACAGCTCGCTCCTATATGCAGTAAGTTTACAATGCCGAGGGTTTACAGAGGTTGGGCTGATGAACTAAAAAGACTGAGTCAGGGGCATTTCTGAGGGATTAAATATCACGTTCTCAAACGCAATGGCCAGGCATGGAGGAAAACACCAGCATCTGGAAGAATTTAGCCTGTTCTGTGGGGGAAAAGGGGCTCCAACCCGGGTCAAAGCAGGTAAACTGCAGGAAGTGGCCACTGAAAGTATATAGAAAGGCACCTGCTACTGTGGCTTCAATGCTGTATTTTTGTGGACTTTTTATGTGTCTGGGAGCAAAGATGACAGATTGATAAACCATTACTCCATATGGTGTGTCCTGTGGTATATAGACAGCGTGTGATAAAATAGGCTGTATAGTGTTACTTACACATTTCCAAGGACTCTTTCTCCCTAGAAGGGATAAATGAAGGAAAAAGAGGGTGAGTGAGTCACCCTCCAGCTTCTCCAGGACCTCTCAGCATGTCCTGTACTATGTCCCAACCCCAAACGCTTTGCCAGCACAACTGATGTATACAAAGACGGCAGTCAGGCATCAATCTGAATGTGTCTTAAATATGAATTCAAGGACCACCCCCAAAATGACAAGAGACATGAAGAACCAGGAGTGCTCTGACCATCTATACCTGTTGTCAAAAGACCGCTGATCCTTATCATCCAACTGGGTCATCATCGGGGTCGGAACATCTCCAGGAGTTACGACCACCTTCACATCCTCGTCCACCTGGAAGCGGATATTCCAGCAGCAGCACCTGCAGCTCCTCTTGTACTTCACCACTGGGGTGCTGGCGGACATAGGCTTGGTGGCACTGGCTGTCTCCCGTGTGCCCCAGGACACATTGTTCAAGTTGACCATGGAGTAGATGGCGAGCAGGACATAGCCACTTGGGATGCAGATGAAGTAGAGGAGCCCGTAAATGATCAAGGGGAACTCCTGGGGGTGCAGCACTGCGGTGGTGAAGTAAACGACCGTGATCCCAATGAGGAAGAGGCCACTGGGGGTCATGAAGGTCGAGTTTATGACCAGATTCCCTAGATGGGTCCAAAAAGATGTCAGCAGGTGGCCAAAATCTCCTCATGCTACTGTTATGAAAGTAGAGGCTATATCCAGGAATCCCCCCTGCAATCAATAAAGTTTGTCGAATCTAATCTATATTAAGGAAGAAATCAATCACCGCTCTTTCTGGATATTGTAAATTACAGATAAAATGAATCACACCTCTGATTTGCAAAAGGTTAATCTACTTTAAATATCAATACCATAGTTGTCTCTCTCTTTATAAAGATCATACACGCCCCTGTGCTGATCCCTGAAACTGCAGGCCTTCGATTACCTATGATGGACAAAATGGCCGCAGTCATGAGGAGCGCATATCCGATGCTCATAAGGGCTGCGATGGTGATCTGGGTGTCAGCTTTCAGCTTGTAGCACAGGATCAGGTAAATGGCCGCTGGCAAAATCGCCAGCAAGAGGCCAACGTTCGCATTAATTTTGAAGACAAATGTGAAACAACCTGCAAAAGTCAGATATGTGAATGAAAGCATAACAATGGACATGCAAACCTGTTACCATCTACCATGCAGTAAAGCAACTTTGATTTCTTCCCTTGAAGTGTGGAAAACTCTCACCTGCCATCATCAGGCAGACGGTAGCTGGGCCAAGAATAGAAGCTGCCGTGTTGATGATCTGATAGAGGATGTACGGTTTGGATATCGATTTGTTTTTCTGCACTGTTACAGACGCTGTGTTCAAGAGGTCTAGCGTATTAGCCAGGGTGGAGGGTGCCCAGCGCCGCCTTTGGTTGTAGAACTCCTTAAACTCCTGTGGAGCATT